ACACTTATTTTTTGTCGCTTGAAACGCGAAGTCGCTATAATCCGTTCGACGCGTTAAACCTTAAACCACATCACAATTCTCAGTTCACAACAGAAACAAACACATTTCATTCTTTCAAGTAGCCTCTCAAAATACACACAAAAGAAAACCACAACAGAAGTTAGAAGAATGAAAAAACGCTCGACTCACATCATCATCAGCTACAGAGATTAGGTATGCATGCCCCATTATCCGAGCCCTGCTGCTCTTTCCAAATCCTACCCGTTACCCTAAGCTTGAGCTCCTTTCTGTCCCCACCCGAGAAAAAGAGGGCCATATTCCTCTGTATGATGAGTCCATCGTGGCTATCACGGACCTTACGGTGACTGTCCCGTATACTTCTTGGGGTGCCTTCCCATACAAGCTTTCTCCCGTTTGCGCCAACTTCCAAGCTGTATGTGTAGTTACGCGACTCGTTTTCATCTCCCATGAATCGGAGAAAGGCCATATAAACGGGAGCCATTCCTAGCTGGAAGGCCTCGAAGTGTAGGCAAAAATACTGCCCAAAACAATGGAATACCTAACAAAATGGAGCTGATAAGCTAACTTATAGTTTTTAAGTGAATTTACGAACTTACAGCTGATAGTTTATTACTTATGGATATATGATAAAAGTTTTTGGTATAATTAGTTGATAAGCTAGCTGAAATAAAAATTTTCTACCCAAGGAAGCTTATGAGATAAGCTGAAACTTTTTTTACCAAGCCAAACTTATTTGAAGACAGGAAGCTTATAAGCTAATCAAATAAACTATAAACTAGCTTATATGCTATTCAAACACAGCCTTATCTTCTTTTTTCTTTTTTTTTTTTAGTTAGAAACTCAAAAAAGTTGATTTAATAGATGATTGCAAGAGCTTATGGATTAATTAATGAAAAGCATAGGTAACTTTTGGAATTGTATTATATTGTACCACGCATAAGAGTTTTTTTGCATCCATCTTATTATACCTTTGTCTTGCATATCTATGCATTGTTGGAGCTAATGAAAATTCCTGATATCGTTGACTACTTCTAGAATTCGGTCAATTCAATTCACACCACTCAAATTTGTTCAAGATTACAAAACAACCCCAAACTTTCAGCTCTGTCTACGTTTATAGATATGGCAAGTAGAACACAATAATATCAAATTACCACATGCAATTAGCTATATACCTAATGAAAAAAAAAAATGAAAAAAGAAAAAAAAAACACTCACAGTCAACATCCACGTGGCATTTTCGACTTCACGAGGGTTCGATTTTACATATCGGTGGTTGAAAGTGCAGCCGCTGTGCATGTCCACTTTATGATCGTCCCTCAAGTGCGAAACGACAAAAGGTATATCTCCCGTGAAAGCACATTCAGAGCCTGCATAAGGGCAGCTATACGGTCTGAAATTGCAAAGTGCTTCGTGTTTGAGTTTGGCGTAGTAAGGAAATATTTCGGGGCAGCCCAAAGAGAAAAACTTGCACGGAAGCTCGAGTGACTCGGCAACTTTCTCTAAGGCCAAACACCTGATATCCCCAAGCTCCTGTCGGCATGTGGGGCACCGGTTGTGTACTCTCGTTTTGCAAGTCGAGCAAAGAGTGTGCCCGTTGTGACACTGTGGAAAAAGATTAAAAAAAATAATAAAAAATATAAAATCATTTCTTATGCATATACACAACTTTGTATTATGTTGTAACATTTCGAGATGTTGGCTATAAGAATCGCTGTATCGTGACTCAGAGTACTTAAATCAGAACTCAAATTTAACTCTACTTTAATTCTACTTTAATTTTATTGTCCAGTATAATTAAATAATATCAACCAATCATTGTTACACATCATATCAACTTTAATTCACTATTCATCCACTCACATAATTTAACTAACCATAACTTCCAATATTTTTCTCCTACTTTTACGTCAAATCAACTTTTATTATTTTAATTTAAATATTATTTTATTCTAAACTTAAATTCCTACTACTAACTAGCTATACCACATTTTTCAAAATTAAAAAGCAATCAAAAATCAATCAAATCCATATCCAATCACACCCTAAAAGTTAAAACCTGAGATTCTTGAATTTTGTTTTGCTCAATTGTCAGACTCGATACATCGAACCAAATCGTTGCATTTTCATGTTTCTACCTATGGAAGCTCCAAGTTTCGAGTTTTTCCGATCAGTGGCACAAATTCAAGAACAATCAGCAGAACGAATGGTTACTATTGGGAAGTATCAATCACTAATTGACAAGGAAGGAACTCTAGAGGCAAATCAAACAACATATAGCCAAAATATTCCGATCTACGAAGGAAAAAACTCGGTGTGTCAAAGGTTCATTGCTATTCATATCTCCATTTCCTTTTGCTTCAAGACAATATAAAAAGGGAACAACAGAATTGCATATAGGAAATAAAACAGAATTGTATTGTTTCTAACACAAACATTGACAAGTACTCGGAATATGAAAAGCTAAGGAGACTAAAACAAGAAACACACACACACACACAGAGAGAGAGAGAGAGAGAGAGACCTGGTGGATAGGTGGGTACATAGAATTAGTGCAAACAGGGCATTCGAGCAATTCATGAACACTTGTGGGTCCAGATGAAATTATATTAAGGCGCTTTGAAGAATATTGATTGGGATTAGAAGACACAGCTGCCTGGATATCTTCATCCTCTACCCCATCAGATGAAGATACACACTCCACATTTTCCATTTCAATTGTTGCCATTTTTTTTCTTTAGAAACGAATTTTTTTTTTAAGAAAAGAACCCCAAAATAAAAAAGGGTTTTCTAACTTCCAAGCTTCTCTGCAGCACGATCCTAAAGATCCAATCTTTCTTCACGGACAAATGGCCACTTTTTATAGACTGCTTTTTTTTTCAATAATTTCAAAGACCCATCTTTAGAAACTCAGCCGTTTGGAGAAATAACAGATACCCATTTCAAAATGTTTGATCTTTGACGGAAATTTGAGGTGCCCGTTTCGGGAAAAAAAAATCGGATCTTTTCTTGATTTAATAATGGGCACATGCAATCCTGCGAAAAATCAAATCTTTTGGGGCTTTTAAGTTTTCAGATAAAGCTGGAATTTAGAAGAACCTGCAAAGACGAAGAGGAGAAACATCCTGAGATCGGTTCGAAAAGAAC